TTTTCCTGCATATCTATGTGTGATATGTGTGTGTCTGTATGTGTGTGCCCAGACACACACACAATGTGTAGGCTCCAGAAATCTTCCTCCATCACTCTCCATCATACTTATATATTGAGCTGGGATTCCCTGTCCAGGGCCACCACACCTACCTGACTTTTATGGGGTTCTGGGGATCTGAATTCTGGTCCTCACACTTATGTGGTTAAGTGCTTCACCTGCTGAGCCATCTCCTCAGCCCAAGGATGGCATTTTTCACACTATATGATGGACAATACCTGAAGCATCCCGGTCATCAGGCAGGTCTGGCTCTCTCTCTCCCTCTACAGGCAGCAATAGGGCACACACAAGACCCTGGTTGGGCTGGGCATATAGGCCTATAAGCTCGCCCAGGGTCTGGAAACGGCGCACAGGCACACCCTGTGAAGTCTGTGGGCCAATAAGGATGGGAGAATCAGCCAGCAGGTCCCCAAGCCTGAGGCAGGTTCAAGATCAAGGATCAGGTATCTGTGCTCCTACCTGCACAGCCAGGAAGTCCTCTCCATCCGGCAGAATGCGGTATGTGTGCACATGCTTCTGATACCTGATGGCAAGGTAGGGACCAGAACCCGTCACCACCAGGCTGAAGTCTTAGCCCCAAAGCACCTCCCTCTCCCATATGCCCGTTACCAGGCTCATCCCCCAGCCCCCTCAGACTGGTTAAAACCGCTTGCCAGGCTGTACAGGGTTAATGATGGGTTCAGTCAACTTCCACCCTCTTAGCAGTGCCAACAAGAGCAAGAATAACCAGGCCCCCCTTCCTACTCCCAGACCTACATAGACTCCACACCCACCGCAGGGCCTGGGAAGCAACAGGCAGCTCTTTTGTGGCCTCTACAGCTGTCTAAACAGCCCCTCTGGGCTGTGGTACCAGTCTGGGCCCCCCGCCAGAGTAAGAGTCCTCCTCAGAAGCCTGGTTAGACCCTATTTGCATACATGGGCAATGTATTAGCACACGTGTAAGCCTCTGTCTGTGTTTATGTTGGTGTCTAGCTCTACTGGAGCTGAGTGTGTCTGGGGCAGTTTTACAGGGGATTGTGAGGGCACCAACCTAGGGCTTTGCTTGCTCTCCTTCCTCAGAAATCAGGAAACTATGATGAACTAAGGGGGATCCCTATGAGAGACTTGGCCTCTAGGAACCCTAAGCCAAGAGGGGCGCTGACAGATGGCAGCAGCAGCTGAGCAGGTGACAGCTGAGCCAGGCATATATACAGTGGGGGATGGAAGGTTCCGTTGGCTTCTATACCTCAGACAGACACTATGGTCTGGGTATGTGCTGGGCAGAAGGGGGTGCTGGTTCCAGAGAGGATCAAACACCAGAGGGTCACCCCCTTCCCTAAAGCTATGCCTCACCTTGAAGTCTGCGGATCTGTATTTACAATAGCACCCGACTAACCGAACCCAGCCTCCGTGTTATGCTGGGTACTCAGCATCCTACAGATCTCATTTGATACATTGTAAAGCAGATATTATCATTCCCATCCTCTAGATGAGAAAACTGAGTCACACACAAAAAAAGAAAAAAATTATTTTCCCAAGTCACAGAACAAATAAAAGGCAGAGCTGATATCTAAAACCAGGGCAGAAGCCAGTTTGTCTTTCAGGGCAGGGATGTGTCTAGAATGTTATTCATGTACATGCCTTGTGTATATAGGTAAGCAAACATGTATTTGTTTGGGAAGCCTAAGAAACCTCCCACTTGAAATCCCTATTGCCAGGCTCCTGAGATGCAGGGAGCAGCCAGTCACCTTGCAAAGATGAACCCCATCACCACACACACACACACACAAACGCCCTCAGCTCCCCTACCCCCTTGTCTTCTCCTGGCAATGAAACCAGAAATTCTCTCCTTACTGGGACAATAATGTTCCTCACCCAGACAAGGGCTCCAGCTGTCCCCCTCCCACTCGACAGCTGATCCAGCACCTGCCTCTGTCCCCTCCCTAATTAAGGGGTCTGTTTGGAGGTGGCTAGGAGGAAGGACTCCTGGAATACTCATAGGCCTAAGCTTTCCAGATTTAGTCTCCCCCTATTGGGTGGGCCTCAGACTTGTGGCAGAAGCTTAGGTTGACCAGACTTCACAGGTCAGCTGCCTAGGTTAGAGTTCTCAACCTCTGTGCTACTGACATTTGGAACCCTATAATCCTTTGTTGTGGAGCAACTGTCTCAAGTGCTGTCAAATGTGTAACAGCATCTCTGGCTTCTACCCACTAGATGCCCATTGCTCCATCCCGGATGTGATAATTAAAACTTTCTCCTGAGCCAAGCCAAAGCATCCCCAAAGATGTCAGGAGAACAGAAGGGGAGAAGAACTGCCGGAGGGCAGGGGGGTTGGACAATGTTTCACTCGGCAGAAGGTCACTAGATCTAAACACAGCTGCACCTGAGGCTTCCCACTCATTAGAGGCCCACTCAGTGTCAAACTGTGAGGCCAGGAGTACAGGTCAGAGAGAACACTGAAAAACAGAAAGCACAAGCTCCACACACATAGCTGCCAGGTACAGGCACAGAACCAGGCACCCTCTGAGGGCTGCCAAGTCTAGCTTTACCCTCAGCACTCAAGATAACCAGAGCTCACGCCAGAGTCAGAAGCGACTCACTCATTGATTCATGAAATGGCTCTCTCCCATAGAGTTCCACCCTACTGCCTCCCCAAGCCTTCCTCTCAACACCAGTAGTACGCCCCCCCAACCCCAAATGGTGGGACAGACTCCTTAGGGAAGCGGCTGAGCATCCTAACACTAGTCCCTTTGCCTCCAACTGTCCCCACTGTCTACCGTACCAACTCAGTCCTTTAAAAATGACTGCATACACACGTGGAACCTTGCATCTTTTCGCTATGAGCCAGAGGCATTGGGGGGTGGGGGGTCTGAGCGGATCTGCAGACACTGCCTGCAATTTCTTCCCATCACAACCACCCTGGGCCTCAGAACTCTGGCCCCAGGCACCAGAAAGTGCTGGCAGACAGAGCAGGAAGTGCCCCCTGTATCCTTCCTCCGCCTAGGGATAAAGTCAAGGTCCCCACTTCGGGGGATGGAGGCGGGGCTGCCGTCCCACCGCCCCAGTCACCCCCACCACTCCCACCGTGCCAAGGCACACCGGGCGTGCCCCCGCCCCACTCACAGCACGCAGAGTGCGAAGGCCCCCGCCACGCTCTCGCTGTCTCGCACCAGGAAGCTGCCATCGCGGCCGGCCCGAGCCAGCAGCTCCTCCGCGGCAGCGCGGCTCAGGTCCCGGTGATACCAGGCAGGGGCCGGGCTGCCCAGCGCACCCCCGGAGCCCGGCGCCCCGCACGCCGAGGCCATGGCCCGCTCAGGGCTCAGCGCCGCCGGTGCCAGCCGCCGCGCGCCATCCGCCCCGGGAAGCTAGGAGCCGAGGCTGGGACCGTGCCTGGGTCTCGGGCGTGAGGATCCGCCGGGGATCCGGGTTCCACGCTCAGCCGCGCAGGCCGTCCGGTTCGGAGCACAGTAGCCGCTGCCTGCAGCGCCGGCCTCAACTTGAGGAGAAAGAAAAGTTTGTTCAGAGGCGGCGGGGGAGGGGCGGGAGCGCAGCGCGGCACAGGCCGGTCCCCTCCCCCTCCGCTCGGCCCAGAGCCCGGGCCGCCCCTGCCCCCAACCTCTCTGCAAGGACGATGCGCCCCCCCGCCACGGTCCTGCAGGACCCGCACCCCCAAACCGTTCAACGATCCTGCCCCTCCACCCTGCTTCCCGACCACTTGGGAGTCCTGGCCCTCCCCGGTGAATTCAACCCTCTCAGTATTCGCAATGAGATAACCCCTAATCCCCAGAAAAGTCTGCACTACAGACCCATTCCACTCGGCGCCCCTACAGCCTGGAGGGATCCGGGTTCTCAAAGGAAGGCAAGCGAGCAAGATTCCCCCCAAGTCTTGCGGAATCCAGCGCTCCTTCAGACCTGAACCCCCAGAATCCGGTCCCTGACATAACCCACAAAAAGGATACCCTCCAAAGAGATCCGATGCTCCTCCACACCCCACGGCCCAGGGTCCTCCAGTCCTCAGGCACGGGTCCCCGGAAAGTCCTCCAGCCCGCCACAGCCCCCCTCCCCCGCCCTGGCCAAGTCCCCTGGCACCACGCCCCACAACCGCAGGCCCGGGTTCTGCAGTCCGAGGGCAGAAGGACCCCCTAGACCATCCAGAAGAAAGTTCTCTCAAGTCCCAGGCTCCCGAGCCTCGGCCCAGAGCCGCCGCCGCCGCAGGCAGGCCCCCACCTCTGGGGTGGCTCGGGTGACTCCAGGCCAGGGGAGGCAGCCCTGGACTCCCCACGGCTACTTAAGATGGCCATCCGCCGCCGCCGCGCACCCCCGCGCCTCCCGCCCCGCCCGCGCCCCGCCCCCGAGCTGGGGCAGCCCCGCACCCCGCCTCACCGGCCCGCGTCTGGGTCCCCGCGCCGCACAGCCGCCGAGTGACCTCGGGCGAGTCCCAGCACCTCTCTGCGCCTCGGCTTCCCGCTCTCTACAATGGGGGTAACGTGACGAGGGCAGACTCAATGGGACTGTGCTCATAAAGCCTGGGGGCCTGGCACCCAGCGGGAGCTCCGGGACGGCGGCTATTTTTATTATTAATTAAGGAGTAACGAAGGTGACAGCTGTGTAAACTGTGAAGCGCGACGGGGGAATGAACGGGTATTATTAGCACCGCCCCCGCCCCAGCTACTCCTTCCAAGTCAACAAACTTGCGCCTCGGCAGGCCAGCAGCCGAACAGGGAGCTCCCGAGACCTCCCATCCACCCACCTCCCAGAGCGGAAGGGGGAACGCAGCAGGAGACCAGGGGGCAGGGCCCGAACGGGGGAGCCCCGCCCCTTCCCCCCCTAAAAAAAGACCTAGAAGGTGGCTGCGTCTCCAGGGATTTCTCTTCCTGCCCCGCCCCTCTGCCCCCTGGTTCCTTAAAGGCGCAGGCCTCCAGCCGTTTGTCTACAGCCGCCAACTCCTGAAAGACGTTGGAGCATCCCTTTAACCTGGGAGACAACTTTCCCTTTGGTAAATTTGAACCTGTTGACCGAGCCTGGGTCAATCCAGAGGAGTTTCCTCCATTTCAAATACGCCTTGGCTTAACCCAGCTGTGAGGACCTTCCAGACCAGATAAATACAATAACAGAAATCCTCCACCTACCCACTCTTGCCTCCAGATCCTGCCAGGAATCCAGTAACTCATTCTCGAATCTGTGACCAACTCCTCCCGTCCTTTTTCCAAGAAGGAAGATGATCCTGGTGTCAGGGGCCACCCTGGTGTTTTGGGCAGAGATCTGGACTAGGGATCTACAACTTGGGTTCTAGTCCCATCCAGCTGGGTCACCCACCTGTAAGCTGTTCTCAGACAGGTACTTGTGCCTCCCTGGGGATAACTGCGGTAACAATGTGAAGACAAAGACCATGGAGTTGGGTGTGGTGCTCGCATTTGAACCCCACATTGGGAAGACAGCTGTATCTACAGGCCCGGTCTACATAGTGAGTTCCATGGAGACCAGCTGCAGGTATAGGGAGACCATGTCTAAACAAGCAAACAACAACAACAAAAGCCACCAGGAAAACCATCCCCAAGGGAGAAGGAACACAAAAGACCCAGAAATCAACTATACAAAGCTAGAGCAAGCAGCATGGATTACTTGCCCAGGCCTGTATCCTATAATCCAGAGAGGAGAGAGAGAGAGAAAGAGAGAGAGAACACAACCCTCCAAAATCATATTTACAATTCCCAAAAAGGACAGATGTCAAAGAAGAGAGATGGCTGAGTGGGTAAAGGCACTTGCCACCAAGCCTGAAAATCTGAGTTCTGGAACACGTGGTAGACGGAGAGAGCCTCTAGCAGGTTGTCCTCTGACTTCCACACCTGTGCCATGGTGCCAGTGCAGCTATAGACATACACACATATACATAAAATAAATAACTTATGAGGGGGTTGCTGCTTCTACCTTTGGGAGCCTCTAAAGGCTTCTAACCTTTAGCCACATCTGTAGAACACAGCTCATGAGTATTTCCTCTACAGGGATCTTCCAGATTGTAGTCCCGGTTGATGCTTTTCCTCTTCTGAAGATCACAAGCCCCTTCAATCTACATTTTAGCCAGTGTGAATTGTTTCCCCCTTGCACTGGAATTCAGAACCTTTGCTGGACTATCTCCAGCTGTCCCACTGTAAGCTGAGCACAGATCTAAGCAGATGGGATGGAGACATGAGATGTGTTTTCTTTTTGAGACAGTCTCATATATCCCACGGGTTTCAAACTCTCTATGTAATCAAGGATGACACTGAACTTCATATCCTGCCTCCATCTCCCAAGTGCTGAGATTGTGCCACCACCATTCTCTAGGGCTTCCTGCATGCTAAGCACACACTCTCCCAACTGAGCTACATTCTCAGCCTCCAAAGGGGAAATGTTTGGGAACGGACAGAAATAATCCTGGACCTGCTTCTCATCTGGAACCCCTACAGGAACTGGATCCCTACAGACTATTAGTGTGCAGACACTGGGTTCACCTGTTTTCTAGGTAGAGGAAACTAATTACAACTGTTTTACATAGAAAGTGGCAGTCAGGAACTGGAAGGGATTCAAAAACTATGGAATCTGTCCCCACCTACCAGTAAACTCACAATGAAAATAATTCATCAGGTTCAGATATATCACAGATTTATTAGAACTGACTGTTATAGGAACCCCAGGCCACACCATGGAGCAGGAGTTGGGCAGCAGGGGTATGGAATGCAAGCAAGCTTAGCACTTCCTCATCCAGGCACAGGAGCTGACCTGATGACCTGAGCCCAGCCTGATCATCCAAACTGTGGGTAGAGAGAGGAGAGGTCGAGAGAGGACTGTCCTTAGCCAAGGAGCCAGTGTGGCAGCATCGGGACCAGGCTGGGCCCAAGAAGCCCCACGGCATGGAGCGTGGCCCCAGGTGTCGGAAACAAAGCATAAAACTTTGCCACCTCCTCATTGGGGTTGCTTGGGCTAGGTTGGTCAAACCACATCTAAATTCAGCAGACACTCCCTCTGCTGTAGTTGCTGACCTCGTAGGAGTGACTCCAGAGACCCTAACAAAGGTTGGTGAACGGTCAGGGAAGTAGTCCAGAAATGTGTGGCGGACAGCTGTAGCTGGGCACTCATTAAGTCCTGCAGGTAGCCATGATGGACATGGATGTTCAGCCCTGGGGTCAAAGCTCACTTCTGGTCACCCTACAAATCTTTAACCTCCCCTTTTCTAAATCCCACCTCCATCTCCCTACCCGCAGACCCTTACCTGAGGCCCAGTCCCAGCCTTTGTGGGACTCCTCTTGCAAGTGGAGGAGGTACAGCAGTTCTCTTTGCATAAGGGAACATCCAGGAAGCACTCTTTACACCAGCTCTGGTCCACTTATGGGTGTTGGTAGCTATACCTGTAAAGAGACTGAGTCCACTGGGAGTGGTGGCCCAAGCCTTTAATCCCAGCACTCAGGAGGCAGAGGCAAGCAGATCTCTGTGAGTTCAAGACCAGCCTGATCTACTTAGTGAGTTCAAGGCCAACTGGGACTACAGGGAGACCCTGTCTCAAAAAGACCAAAAAAATATGTGAGGTAGACACACATGTACCTAGTAGATCCAAGGTCCCAGGTTTTGGGACACTCATAGAGACAGGTATCTTGGATGAAATTATGCTTGCAGGCAGGCTCCATCTTGCCACAATGATCCCAGTAGAAGTTGTACAAGAGGGAGCTGTCCTTGTGCAGTTCCTGGGTAGTGTTGACCAAGCAGCAGGCATTTCCCTTCCAAGGACTACACTGGTTGAGGAAGGCACAGAACTGAGTCTTTCTACCCTACTCCCCACCTCCTGTCTCCTTTTAGCCTTGCTCCATTTGGTCCTGACACCCTTTTACCAAGCAGGCTGTTCTGTGAACACAAGGGCCCCTCCATATCCTTGGCGTCCAGGATGATAAAATGTGTGTGAAAAAGAAGCTATGAGAAGGGCTGAAGAGATGGCTCAGTGGTTAGGAGCACTGGTTGCTGTAACAGCACATATACATGACAGCTAACAATGATCAATAACTCCAGTTTCAGGGGATCAGATGCCCTCTTCTGGCCTGTGTGGGTATTCCAATCACAAGGTGCACTTACATACATGCAGGCAAAATACTCATACACAAAATAAAAGTAAATAAAATATTTAAAAAGAAGCTGTGAGAGCCCAGGGGAACCTTCCCTTTGGGGTAATAGTCCTCTTTCATATAGGGCCTCACACTTTATAAAGTTCAGCTGCGCATGTTGGCACATGCCTGTAAGTCAGGGGACTAAGGCTGAAGGATCATGAATTCAAGACCAGCCTAGACAAGGTGGATGAGATTCTCTCTCAAAAAAACAAAACAAAATATAATCCAGTCATGGTGGTGCACATTCGTAAACCCAACACTCAGGAGGTAGAGGCAAGAGGATCAGAAGTAAAAGGTCATCCTCAGCTACATCCTGAATTTGAAATCAGTTTGAACTACATAAAAGCTTGCCTCAAAAAAACAAATATGGACTGGAGAACTGGCTCAGAGGTTAAGAGCACAGGTTGCTCTTGCAGAGACTTGGGTTCAGTTCCCAGCACCCACGTGGTGGCTAACAACCATCTGTAACTCCAATTCCAGGGGATCCAGTGCTCTATTCTAATCTCCACAGGCATTGCACACATGGGTGCACTTGCATCCATTCTGGCAGAACGGTCATACGCATAAAATTAAAATAAACAACATTTAAAAATTTGGCCCCAGTGGAAAAGCCAGGACCAGACACAATAAGATATCACCTTACCATAAACACATCATAATCCACAACTTCTAATGTAGATGGGTTTCCTGAGGCTAAAAATAGTACAGCATTCAAGGTGGTACTGTGTTCTCTGTTCTACCAAAGCTATTCATGACTTAGAAAATTATGCCTGTCATGCTGGCATATGCCTTTAATCCAGCACTTGAAAAACAGACAGAGATGCCACAGCACATTTGAAGCCAACCTGATCTACACATCAAATTCCAGGCCAGCCAGGCTACATGGTGAGATCCTGTCTCCAAAGAAACCAAACGAGGAGGGAAAAAAAAAGGAAAGAAAAGAAAAGAAAAAAGTTTTGTCATAGGCTGGGCATGGTAGCACATACCATTAGTCCCAGCACTCAGAAGGCAGAAGCAGGTGGATCTCTGTGAGTTCAAGGCCAGCCTGGTCTACATAGTAAGTTCCAGGCAGCTGGGGCTACAGGGAGACCCTGTCTCAAAAAGATAAAAAATAAAAATAAAAAAGTTTTCGGACTGGAGAGATGGCTCAGCAGTTAAGAACACTGACTGTTCTTGCAGAAGACCCGGGTTCGTATCCCAGCACCTACGTGGCAACAAACTGTCCATAACTCCAGTTCCAGGGGATCCGACAGGCTCTTCTGTCCTCGGGCATCACACAACACGGGCGCACTTACCTACATCCAGGCAGTACACGCATTGTCAGTTCTCCTTAAAAGATTTTAGAGAGCACACCTGTAGTGATCTTCATTTGTAACTGCCCTACTCATCTGATTTTGTGAATATAAGTAAACATGCTATTTCTTAATTTCTTCTAGTAAAGTCATACCAGAGAGCTGACTGAAATATATTATTGGTACTTAGTATATCTTCCTTGGCTTAAAGTGGATTGACTTGGATTTTTTTTTTTTTTTTTTTTTTTTTTTTTTTTTTTTTTTTTTTTTCCCTTGTAGCCCCAACTGGCCTGGATTTGCTATGGAGACCAGGCTAGCCTCGAACT